ATGGCATAACTACTTAGCTGGGCCCAAAGCCCAGAGCCCCATGCACACGCACATATGCAGATGCATCCACTTTTGGCCTCTTGTTTGACTTTGCCTAACACTTTGTGCCATACTTTTTCAACTGACAAAATACACATTCAGGCGGAGTGGGAGAGACAGTGATGCCGGGAATGCATTTGAAGATTTTCTGAAAAAAAGTAAAGAGGGATTTCGTATACTCAAATATCATGTTGCGAGAGCTAAAAAGTATTTACCAAACATAGATTTTTATGCATTTTTTGAATAGATTGAAAAACAATTCAAATTTTTTCCATGAAACATTTTTTCTCAAAATATAATGTTTATAAGGCCTTAACTTTTAACTAAAAACTTTTGTGTGAATGCCTTAAATAGCCAGATCTGACGTGAAATTCACTGTATCTCACACCCCTGGATTAAGACCTCGTTCTAGAGTAAACCTTTCAGAGAAGAGGGACAGGCAGACATGCCTATTTGGGCTGCGTTTGCTGGATTTGGATTTGTTTCAACTCTGCGAAATGGGTTACATGTGAGGCGAAGACGAGGGCCCTTTGGCGAACAAACAAACCCGCTGAGTGGGAGTGCGATGCAGTAGTGCCCAATGTGCAGCGGAGCATAAAGTGCACTAAGCGCGGATTTATAACGGAAGCTTAGCCCGCTCGCCAGCTCATGAATAAATTAACACAAGAACATATGTATGCATAAGTGCCTGTATGTAACGGGGCAGGCATACTGAGCAAACACGCCCCCCGGCACATTGTTCTAAGTATTCCACCAACTACTGGCCATATAAGGCCGTGAGATACAACAGCAACGATTAAAATCGATCTTGAGTCTCATAAATTATGCAATTCAACAAACGGAACCACTCCACCGCTTCAGCAGACAGTAGCGCACTATAGGTTGCAAAAGTGCACGATTGAATCAGATGGGATCTATGCTATAGACCAGATTCCCTAAGTAGAAGGTAGGCAGTGGTATAGCTCTTGAAAACTAAGAGTTTAGGAAAGTTCAAAATACCATATTGCTTTAAAGCATTTGGGAAATGCAGATGCTAAATAGATTTCGAAAATATTAAGCTCTTTCTACTTAAAAAATTAGAGTTCTGGAATTTTAATACTCATAATTTGAAAATTTTTCAAAACTCAAAAAATATTTATTTTGAAAGCTTGATGAAGTAGCATTATGATTAAGAAGCTTTTCATTATAAAGAGGGAGTGGGAGAGTTTAGATTCTGTTCGCCTTATAGAAGCTGGACTGTTTGTGAGGCCCCCGCTCGGAGGAGGCTGCAACTTCATCTGCGTGTGGCCAGTGTGTGTTTCGTTTCTGTTTCAGTTATAGTTTCTTTTTTCCCAGCCCACGCCCATGTCATTGGGCACCCACAAGCGGAGCATGGAGCTCTGGCAGTTGGACACTCGGACAGTTGGGCGGCTCAACTTTAACTTCGATTTTCAATATTCATGACAGGAATGGGGGCGGCAGAGAGTTCGGGGGACAGCCGTGTTCGAATGGCAGTCGAAAATTATGGCAATTACAGAGTTCTGTAGAGTTCTGTAAATTATTTGCTCTGGCGACCTCATTGTCAGCACACACACATACAGACGTAAAGCCACTGGAAAATTCATAACAGCATGTGTGCAAATATTCCCACATGCACTTTGCAGTCGCTGTTTAATAATTCGGTGTGTTTAATGCAAATTGAGCGTTTAGCAGCCGTCAGTAGGCAGAGGAAAATGATCAACTAAATAGGTCCATGACTCGCATATTAAATTGGTTTTTTTAGCTATTTTTATTTCAATGAAACTGCCATTAAAAAAACACACGTTAAAATTTGTATTGTTATTAAATTAAATTCTTCATTAAAATGGTTCATTTACATATTTTCTGGTTTAATTGCTAAATAAATGCCGAAAGAAAAGTAAATAAAATATATCTTTAACTTTTTTGCTGTGTGAATAAGTGTTTTGAAAGCGCTGGGCAAAAGTGACCAATCAGTGGGTCACTCATCACCGAGGAATCCGCTTAAGCTCCCAAGTTCTTATCTCGAAATTCCGAGACCACAATTATGCCTCATGGCTTATCGGCGTGAGCAGCCCTCAATTACAGCGTTCGCATAATTATGCCCCTCAAATCGCTCTTAAAAGACGGCACGAGATTCCAGATCCCCGGGAAATAAATCGGTAGTAAGCGCCTTATGCGGCTTATTTGTAGGTCGTATAAAACGGAGTCCCCCTGCGTCGGCTACTTGCTTTATTTTATTTACTTTTTATACGCATTTGTGCAATATTTATTTTTATGCCAACTGCAATGGCCGAGTGATAAGCGCTGGACAGCGGATGAGACTGGTCTGTGGAGTAGGGGATATACTATATTTATGGGGGATGGAAGGGAGAAAAGGAAGCAGACGAGAGCAGCGACAGCGGAAATTTATGGTCGTCGCATAAAACGCATAATCAGTAAACGAATGTGCCACAAAGGCAGAAGGAGAACAAGAGGCTTGGGGATCGGGGGCTTAACCGAATGACCGATGGATAGGGAATCGGCTGAAGCTATAGCTATAGCCATACTGGAACAATTTCCCCCCAGCAAGGGAGCTATCATCCACACATTCGACGGAAAGCGCTTCGATAGAAATGCAAATTCAAGCAAAACTTGTGCGTAACTTATGGCTCCTGTATTCGTACACTGAGGGAAGTCAAAAAAGATATTTAAGTTTAGACTGTTCAGTCTAAGGACCATTTTATCTTTCGCCTTTCTACTTATACAGCTCCCACAAAGTGTTGAATAAATTCATAAACAAAATTCATTCAGAGAAGAAAGGTTACCCAAAACAAGAGGCTTCTTAATTTCTTAAATATTTAGAATGTTTTTTTAAATAAACAAGCAACAAATCTTTTAACAAATATTATATTATTTTAATGAGGTATATTTACTGTTAAATCCATTCCTGCTTATTTATAAACTCATTAATTTCTGTTTAAAACTAAAATTACCAAATATTAGGAATATCTTCTTTTGATACATAATAAGAAACCAATCATTCAAAAAATATTATATGATTTGATTGAGTAATTGTTTACCCTTAAAAATCATCACTAAAGTTGTAGTAGTGAATCTTAATTATTTTATTTTTCCTTGCTTATTCGAAAACTCTTTACTTTATTTTTAGTGCTTTTAAACTATTTTTTCCCCAGTCCATGTTATGCACACATAAGCTGGATGAGTCAGTGCTAAATTGGTCCGCCTAAAGTGCAACGTTTGCACTCTGCACCTTGCCGCCTTCGGCACTATTTCACTGTCAACTGATCGGGTGATGGGATGGCATCGGGCAAATCGAACACCCAGGGAATCGGGGAAACGGGCAGCGGTAATTGCGGGGCTACGTTAATTAAAGCCCTGTAATGTCATTAGCTGGCCTTTTGACTCGCCCGTCCGGCTAATTAGGTTTGCATCTAACGCAAACGCAGGATGATGACTGCGAGTCTGCGGATGATTTCTGGATGGCCGATGGCTGAAGGCTGACGCACTTGCACGCGATGCGATACTTGGCGTCTCACTTAATTACCGACTGCCAATGGCCAGCTTGATAACAGTTAAATTGATTTTGATTGCTTTATTCGATGCCTATAAATCAAAGACGAATGAAAATTCTATGGGGCACGTGGGTAGCGGCAGCAGCAGCAGCAGCATGAGGAGAATACTGAGGCCGGGAAAAGCGATATGCAGCGATATGGACACCGATATGCTGGGGATATATATCCATAGAAACACATATATATCCATCGGTACTGGCCACTGCCCACTTGTCCAGTGTCAACGTCAAACACGAAACGAAACATTTTGTGCGATTAGCTTGTAAGATTGTTTGCAGCTCTTTTTTGTGGCCATTTATTCAACTGCAGTCGGCAGTCGGCAACTCGATAGTTAGAGTGTGTAAAACTGGATTGCAGCTGGACGGGGCTAGGAGCTAAGAGCCAAAGAGGCTGAGGGGGCAGAAGCTGGCTTAGATGTGAACGTAGACAAGCTGGCAAGCCAAAAGCATTTTGGCCTCATGGTGATTTTAGTTTTAGTGCTTTTTTCTCCTACTTTTTGGACTGTGTGTTTGCCCACTCGAATGCCTCCGAGTGGCAATTTTATCGAATTATTTGCACTTAGCTGCAAATTCAATTGGAAATAACGAGCGACTTTTCGTTGTTAGCACTGGGATGTCGAGGATACGAGTACTTTTGTATACACACTGTATACAAGTACGTTCGGGCACAAATATCCGAGTTCCCCGAGGCCCCGAAAAGCAGCAGGTGATCCCATGCACTTTGCACACTCAAAGACACAAACACAATTGATATCTCTGTCGCAGTCTATTTGGGTCGTGTCAAAAATCGCCGCTAGGTGGTAATTCCCATCAATTGGAGTTGTACAGTAAACATGGGTTACATTGTAATCGTCTGATGTAATTTTAACAACCTAAACCATAAAATTGAATGAAAAATGTAGATAGCATTTTGTTATACTTCCAGAAGACATTTAATTGATGAGTAACTTAAATTTAATAAATGTTTTAGTGATAGATTTTTAGTACATTAACAATGGAATTTATTATGTATGTTTTCTTTAATTAACATTAGTTTTTCCCAGTGTTTTGCTCGGTGCAACTATCCGTTAAGATCACTTTATGAGCTGCCTCTACAATGTTACTCTTAGCCTATATTTACTATACTTGGGGTGGTATATATTTTAGCATTGTGCAACAATTCGGCCGCTTGTTTCAATTTTTTTCGGAATTTGCCGATAAGCGACGTGAGCAATAGGAAATATTTTGACACTTCTTTATGGGGCAATCTAAGAAATATGTCAGCCATGCAAAGGCGATATGGAAACCACTTTGTAGCTCAGTAACGTGTATAATTACCAGCCATTTTGTTGAGAAACCAATGGTTAAAAATGATCTCTATTTATCTGGAATTTATTATTTGCATTTTCAGGCAGAACGAGAAGGATTGCGATGAGGACGACAAGGACGATGTGCTTGATATAATGCCGCCGCCCCCGAACTACATACAGATCTCCCAGGGAAGGATTCAGCTGGTCCATCAGCCGAGAACGCCCGTGGAATCTGAGGCGGGAACTCTCTCCCTGGAGCGACATGGAGGCTCAATCTCCGGATCCGGCGGCTGTGATAAGGTGAGTTTCGGGCACCATAATTAACCCCCGGCTTGGTTTTGCGGTAACTCCCAGCTTTTGGTTTCGATAGAAAGGCACGTAGCGCTTTTGGGATAGACCCCTAGTAGACCCATCCAATTACAGACAATCAAATCAGCTCGATTCAAATCATAGCCCCCGTATTCATAGCTATTACCTTCCCACCACCATCAACTAACCTTCGGCTCCGGTGTTTTGTGAGTGGTTAACCCAAATTTTGCCCAATCGGCGGGGAAAGCTTTCCATTGTGTGGCGTGTGGAGGAGAATTTTCCCAAAGTGCGGCGGCATGCAAACGAGACCGGAGACCCGAGACTCTCGGCGAGGCAAACACCTTTGAACCCGGCTTTTTGCAGTCTGAGTTTGAGCCACTTGAACTCGTTAACGTGCCATTTGAGACACATCGCAGCGGCGTTCCAGAGATTGATGAAGGACTCTTCATGCGGCAAATGACCCCGCGACATGCGACTCCCGGGGTCACGCCAAGTTTCTCCCCAATTTCCCGGCCTAATTGATCGCATATAAATGTTGACAATTACCTGGCTTAGCTCTCTGCTTTTCCCATGGATCGATCCCATATGTTCCACGCTCCATGGCAGTCGAATTTAAAAATTCTCGCTGCTGCTCACGTTCCGACTTCCGTGACGTTTTAATAGCACTAAGTATGGCGCATGCGCAGCCGCTGGAGTTGATTTATGGTAGTTACAGGCTATGGATGTGGATGTGGCTGTGCCTGGATGGACCATAAGCGGCTGCAAATGAGCCGGCCCAGCCGGACTTGTATTTGTATTTGTATTTTATTATTTCGTGTCATCCTAACGCTACAAGTTTGGAACTTATAAATTAATGCGCTAGTCACAGATAGGTGCAAATATTACTAAAACTAATTTTATATATAAAAGAAAAACTAACCTAAGTCGCTTTCTAATTTTAATTTAATTTACCTAATAGTGTTTTTTAGGTGTGAGAGTAGATTTGTTTTGAATTGCATAGCACTGCTTATATTCTTTATATGGCTGGGGAGCTGATTCCATGATCGAATAGCATTTATTAAAAATTGTCTCTCGGCTGTCAATGATCTAGGTCTTATGCAAGTTAGGTTGTTTGCTCTTCTAGAGGCTGTAAATTGGAGTTTTTCAAATAGATACGAAGGTTCTTTTTCAAAAATAATTTTATGGAGATAAATTAAGTTACGCATCTTTATCCATTCATTAAGGCCGACATTAAATATTTTTTGTGAGAATTCCGAGACATGATTTCTTGGTGGTAGGTTGAATATGTACCTTGCTATGCAATTGAATACCACCTTAATTTTGTTTTGGCTGATGGTGTCACAATTTGAAAAAACTTCTATTCCATAGAAAAGCACTGGAGCAATACATGTTTTGGCTATCATTAATCGTATATGAGTGGGCAGGCAATTTTTGGTTACGGATAATGTTCTTAATATGCCATATGTTTTTCCTACAGCCTTTGTTATGTGATCATTCCAGGTAAGGGTCCTGTTGAAAGTGAAACCTAAGTTTATGGCTGTTTCAACATATTCAAGTGGCGCGTTATTTATGCTCAGAGGCTGTAAATTATTAAGAGCTATTTTCCTTTTACTTATGATAAGACATTTAGATTTTAATGGGTTGATTCCAAGTCCATTGTTGCCGGCCCACTCACTTACACGTGCAAGATCCCTGTTACAAACATCTATACAATCATTTATTCTGCTTAATGGACGACTCACATACATTTGGACATCATCCGCATACAAGTGGACATTGCATTCAGACAGCACATTGGGAAGGTCATTAACATATAAGGAAAACAATAAGGGACCAAGAACAGACCCTTGGGGTACACCACGATTCACATTTTCAAACGTAGAGGAGACGTTAGACAGTACAACGGATTGACGACGATTTTGTAGGTACGAAGACACAAGTTTAACAGAAGCTTTAGAAAACATGAACATGTTACGTAACTTGGCACAAAGGACATTATGGTTTACAGTATCGAAGGCTTTACTATAGTCCAGTAAAACTAAGAGTGTAATATTATTGTCGTCTATCTGTTCCCTTAGATCATCTGCAATTTTTAAAATAGCTGAGGTGCAGCTTCTGTTTTTCCTAAAACCTGACTGACAATTGTTTAGCATTGCATTGTCAGACATAAACTTATTAATCTGATCAGCCATTAAATTCTCAAAGACTTTTGAAAGATAGGGTAAAATGGAGATGGGCCTATAATCATTGTTTGATTTTGGAATTGGAATTATTTTAGCCGTTTTCCAACAATCCGGGAATGTGGAGGTTGTCAATGCACTATTGAAAGTATGCGTTATGTATGGAAGGATTTTTGGCAGCAATATTTTTATAAACTTTGGGTTTATGTTGTCGAGCCCAGTAGCGTCACTCTTAATTCTAAGTATACTTTGTAGGACATCACACTGGTTAACACACATAAACCTAAACCTAATATCACAGCCTATTCCAGGTACAAATTGTGGGTTCAGGTACTTATTTTCAGAGATTTCAGGTACTGTGCAGTTTAAGAACTTTTTATTAAGATCATTAACATCTATTTCTTGCTCAGCTCGTGGTTTGGGTTTGCATATTCCAAGGTTTTTGATTATTTTCCATGTCTGAGTAGTAGAAGCATTATTGAATTTACGGGAATAGAATTTTTTCTTGGCGGTTTGAGAAAGTTTGGTGACTTTTTGTCTCAATGCCTTAAACACCGCGTAGGCTTGAGGTGTCCTGTATCTCTTCCATTTATTGTACGCTTCGTCACGCTGTAGTATTGTGTCTTTTATGTTTTTATGGAACCATGGTTTTTGGAACTTGGAACGTGGTAACTGCTCCATGTAAATGGCAGTTGACGCGGTAATGCTTCCCAGAATCGAGAATCCAGAAAGCACTGGAGAGGCAGCCAGGCAGAAGTCACGGCTCCTGCTAATTGAACCCACGAATCCGCTCCAGAGGCTGCGTGTTTCGATTACCAAGATCCAAGCTCCAAGATCCGAGCTCTGAGTTCCAAACTCCAGCTGCCCAGGCAGACACCCACTCGCGGCAAATTTGCCAAATGGCATCTCGATTATTTGTGCGCACACAATGGAGCTGATGCACTGCATCCATGGCTGTCATCAGAACCCAGTCACGTTCTCTCCCCATAAGTTGCTGCCGTGCTTTTGATGTTGCTGCTGCCCGTTGCTGTTGCTGTTTGTGTTGCTGTTGCAACTGTGCAGTTTCGCACTGGCGACGAGTGATTGAGGAGAGTTCACCGAACTGCCAGCTATTTATTTGCTGTGTTTGCCCAGACTTCTTGCCCCCTATCCCCCGGATACCTCTGCTCCTCTGGAGCTGCAGCTTCTGGCTCTGATTCTCCAATTCCCCGATTCTCCGACTCTGCCGCTGCTGCACATGCGCACAGTTTCGCCAGCTGGAATAGAAGTCTATGGGCTGGCATTGTTGTCGCCGTCTCCATTTCATTGCCTGCATTAGCATATGGATATGTGTGTACCTACTTCTGCTATATTTGTTTACACAGAAAGAAGTCTCGAAGCGGGGAGTTATAGCTTTCCAGAAATTGATAGGAAAAAATCGAGAATTTTTAAGTCTTCTATGAAATTATTTAAAATGGTTTTCAGATGAATTAGGAAATATAAATAAAACAATTTTTAGTAATTAAAATAGTTACTATCATGAATCATAAGAAATACCATTAAAATTTATTAAAGAATTTTTAAAATGACAAAATAATTTAAATTTATATAATTTACAAAATTTGTTTATCTACTTTTTAAGTCAGACTCAAGATTATTTTTTTTTCTGTGCATAAACTGGCAGCTCCACATCGAGACTGGATAATTTCCTACCACAAATCATGGCATTCATTCTCGCTTAGTTGGCCAACTCTTTTGGCCATTCATAATCACGCTTGGATCGTAATCTTTATAAATTCTCTCTCGTTACGGCAGAACAACAAAAATCAATTTGTCTATTGCGCAAAAAGGCCGAACTGAAAACAAAACCCCTGCTTCAAAAGACAACGCAGCCCATTTTCCTCAAGCTATAAAAATTATTTTTACAACTTCCACAACTAATATTAAGTGTTTAACAAAACAGAAAGCAGAAAAAAAATCCAAAAAAGCAAACTGGTGTTTTACGAGCGGCGGCGTCACATTAGTTGTTTTGTTTTTTGTGATTTCTGTGTTGTCTGTTCGAGCCGAGAAACATTTGCCGGCCATTTTTAGGCAGGGGAAAACTTTGAAATTGCCATTTCCATTTCCTGGCCACGCCCCCGCCCCCTGATGACTCCCTGTCATGTGTGTAAGTAGTATATAGTATATATATATAAATCGGTGGTATATAGTGCTCTAAGTAGCTGATCTCTTGGGCGCTTTTCCTCTTTGATTTCGACTCCAAAAGTGGGCTTTTCGTGCCACTGTTCTTCTGTGGCATGTCAGCCTTGCTCTCGGTGAATTATTGGCCATGCACACCTGCAACTTGCCCACCTGTCCCCACCCCCTCCCCTTTTCCCCACTTATGTACCCACTTTTGTGCCCCAGACCTTCTCCTCATCGCGTGCGGATTAAGCTGAAACTTATTGTGCTTTTTCTTGGCCCGAATGCAATGTTGTTGCATTCACTCGGAAAATCGGGATTGTGCCCAAAAGAGTTCAATGATTTGCTTTTTACACCTCGAATCTGTTTTCTGTTTTCGTTGCTGTGACAAGATCGTAAATTAATTTCAATTGCTTTTCATTTCGGTTCGAGCTGTTATAATTATTTTTCTCGCTTTGCTTTCGTCAGTGGTGTCATTGGAAATTATAGCTAGAAAGAGTTTATGGTACCCTACATTTAGTAGGTGACAAATAATTCTTAATACTTAGTAATTAGTGGCAGTTTAGTTGTACACCTATATTAAAATTATTATTTAAAAAAAAAAAATAAAGGTATCCAATTTGCTTGGAATTACTAAAAAATTATATTATTTGAAAGTGGGTAAAAAAAAAAAAATTTTTTTTTTTTTTTTTTTTATTTATTTTATTTTGTTAGGGAGGGGGGGGGGGGGGGGGGAAAGGAAAAAAAATTTTTATTTTTTTTTATTTTTTTTTTTTTTTTTTTTTTTTTTTTTTTTTTTTTTTTTTTTTTTTTTTTTTTTTTTTATAAAAAAATTTTTTTTTTTTTTTTTTTTTTTATTTTTTTTTTTTTTTTTTTTTTTAATATTTTTTTTGGTTTTTGGGGGGGGGGTGATTTTTTTTAAAAAATTTTTTTTTGTTTGTAATTTTTAAATTTTTTTTTCAAAAAAATTTTTTTTTTTTTTTTTTTTTTTTTTTTTTTTTTTTTTTTTTTAAAAAAAAAAAAAGAGGGAGGGGGGGACAAACGGAGGAACGGAGGAGGTTTTTTTTTTTTTTGTTTTTTTTTTTTTTTTAAATTTTTTTTTTTTTTTGGGGGGGGAAACCCTTCTTTCTCCTTTTTTTTTTTTTTTTCCAAAAAAAAATTTTCCCTTTTTCTCTACGAGTAACGGGTATAAATATAAGAATAACTACATTTGATGATAGCATATGGTTCTTTAAGTTTTATAAAAATCATTACTCTAAGGAAATGTCCATAAAACTTTTAACTGCTATTTTAAATTATTTATTTTTCTAAAACTAACTTAAGATATTAGGTACTTTTTGAAAAGACCTTTAACTATCTTATGGGCATTTGGGCAGCACTGCAATCGCTTACAAACACACCCCCACACTCACATTTAAAACCCCATTGATTCACTGGCCAAATATGTATACACGGAAAATTGAAGGAAAACACCCATGCACATTTTCGGCTAGCTTTAACTTTTCGTTTTTGGGATTTTAGCCATAGCATTTAGCCAACTTGTGCTGCTTCCTGAGTTTTTGGTTTTTCTGTTTTGTTGTTCTTGCAGGATGTGTTGGAGAAGCGGATGATTGAAGTTGAAGGCGCGCTGCTGCGTTTGCAGGAGCAGTTCCAGAAAGTGAGTACTACTCCTGCGGAAATGTATCCATCCATCTATGTACATATCCATCTCTATCTCCATCTTCTACTCCCGCCCCCTGCGAAGTTGATATGTTATTACCCAGCCCGGACATTGCTCTCGAAATGAACTTTGAATTTGATGTCGCCGGAGTTGGGTCTTTCGACGGCCCGTTCCCAAAGTATTTTAATTTCCTGTGCGGTCAGCGTGTGAGAGATTTTGTTCGGGGCAGGGGTCGTTGGGTGGGGTTTTCCAGGGTTCCGGGGCTCGGGGACTCGGGGTCTCGATGGACATGGGGGTCATTAATCGTGTTCAGTCGTTTGCGCCCTGTGCGGTTTATGCGGTCGGGCTTGGCCAACAAGGTCGCCTGGGCGGGCAATTAAAAGTTACAAGCTTGAATTACATGCATATGTAGCAACATCAACATCAAATTATCCGACAGGAGGAGTAAAAGACACAATGGCCCATAAAGATAGGACTATTTTGTACACATCCTATTTTAACGGAATGAAACAGGAAAGGAATAAAAATAAAATACAAATTCGTAATTCTTTTTGTAACTTTAATTTTTAAATTTATTTGTAAGTCTTTCTTGCTAAAAAGCTTATTAGAAAAAAACCTAGTAAGAAAAGTTTTAATGCAAATAACGCATACTTAAACTTTTGAGAAGTGACATTTGAGAAAACTTGCATGCAAATTGGCCAACATAAACTCACATAAAAAAGGTCTTAGAAAAAGTTGGGGATAGGAAATTGCGACTGTTTATTACCTTCGGACCACTCGATCAAAGCCCTTCCAATGGCAAATCACAATCTAAACTGTCATCACAATGGCCGGAGGCTGCCCCCTGTCGGCCAAAAAAGAAAGTTTAATGGCCGGAACTTTCCGGCGGAAGGAGCTTGGTTTGGCATACGCATTTCCGGCTTTAGGTAATTGAATTTGATAACAGAAAAGAAGTAGAACGGGCCAGAGCCCCGAAAACGAGTTAACTGCCTGGAGTTTATGGTGTGAAAAGGAGCAGCGTGTGGCCTGGGCCTCCGTGGCATCCATTCCACGCCCACACCCATTTTTTGGCCAATGATTTCCGCAGCCAAATGGCCACCCGCCGCCCGCTCTTCCTGATTTTCACAGGAAGCGGCGGAGACAAAACGCGTCGAGAGGAAAAGTGGAAAAGTGCTTTCTGCTCTGTTTTGGCCCGTTCTGGCCATTGCCTGATTTTCTATGCTTTTGGCAGGCGGCCCAGCTCGCAGCAGAATTTACGAGTGCGGCAGTGGCAGTTGCCCCCGACTTCCCATTCTCCGCCTTATCATCTCGCCAGGCTGCAAGCGAGGTCCGTGCATGGGAATCCGATTACTGCACTTAAAACAAAATGTTGCTTAAAACCACCAAACTCATTTTGAAAATTTTGCTATCTAAAATTAATATCAAAACCAATAAACACGAACAAACTAAAAAGTTAATTTACCATTGCAATTTTTCAAAATTAAAAATGTTTTAATATATATTTTCAATCATTATATTTTGTAAATCTTTAACTTTCTTTAGTAACCATAATCGATAAAAATTCTTAAAGTTTCCTTACAATTAATGTTTGCATTTTTTAACGAATATTGCATTAAAATTGATTAGGGGATATAACGTTATTTTACTTTTCAAACCGGATAAAATATTTTATATTTAACAATTTGTAAAATCTTAATATTGTTAGCCATTCTTTCTTGCAGTGTCTGGGCATATGCGGATGCTGTGTTTTTTTTTTTTGCACCACAAGGAGTTTTGCCAGGAGAGTGCGGAAGTGGGCGGAGTGGATACATGAGCTACCGTTGCCGCTGTCCCAACTTCCAGCTCCTTTGGCAATATTTCTGCACTTTATCTGTCTGTAAATAACGATTAACTATGCTCGCTGCTCCCTCAGCTGCTTTTGCGCTTTTCCTTGGCATTTGGTTTTGCTTTTGCTTTGCCACTGTCCTTCCTTTTCACTTAGTCAAAGTCTCTCCCCCTCAAAGCAGCTGTGTGTGTGTGAGTGTACTTTATTGTTATTGGCATATCAGTGGCTCAGAGGAAGTGGAAGGGGGTGCACTTAGAGAAATAATTGGTACTATGTTTGATGACTTTTTGAATTACTAAAGCTTATGTTAAATCTTAAGGAAACTACATTATTTTATAACATTTCTACTCAATATTTATTGATCTGAAAAACAATTATTGGAAATTCGATTATTATTGTATCCATAACAAATGCTTAGGATTATCTAGATTAATCACTATTTTAATAATCAGAAAGAAAATAAAATCATAGGTCCCTTTCTTGACCTGCTCATTTATGTTCTAACGTCTACCCAATTTCTCTGTGTGGAAAGAGGAGAGTTGGCTGGCAATCCATTGACAAGTCGGGCCACCAAAAGTGTGAATGTTGCAGAATTCTTTTTTCGGCTACCAAGGCTAAAAGTGGGAGGAACAAGGCGGGAAGGGGGTTAAAGGCGGACTTAGACAGCTTGTTGGCCATGTGGCATGCAATAAATGGCACGATTCAATGAATATCCATCTTCCGATTCGGCATGCTATCCTCATCATCATCATTCTCGCTCCCAATTCCATTCCCAGGGCCACTTTCATCATCATTCTCATCTGTTTCTTATTTGGCCGTTAGGAGAGTGTGGGCTTACTTTAGTGTAATTGATTTCCAGGCCGAGAACTCTGCGATTATGGCCTCTTAATTGATAAGAAAGCCGTCCCTCGAAAGGGTTTTCTATGTAAGTAGCTTCCAACTTTCGTTGCTAGGTTTCAGCTTTCGAGTCTTCCATCTTCATCCTGCTCAAAATGCTGACAGTTGCCGCTTTTTTTTACCAATTTCTTTTTTGTGTTACAACAGCTGAGCCCTTGAGTCCGTAAAGTAAAGCACATGGCAACACGACATTTAATCCTTTGTCCCCTCAAATATTTGTGTTTGTTGTACGAAATGCTGGCAAACAAATGGAAAAGGCAGATGACTAAACGGAAGTTTTGTTTATTTGTTTGCCTTTAATCAGGCGACAGATCAACAAGCCAAATCTGAATGGATTGGCATGTGCTAATGAAAAGTTGATTTAAGGGCATCAGAAGGGGGCAAAAGGCGGAGGAGATGCACAATGTCCAACTTTCGCCACCAGCACGTGCTCAATTTTGAATTCCATGAAAGTCCAGCCCCTCCAGTAATCTCGCAGCCACCCTCGCTTTCTCCCCGTTGCCCTTGGAAATCTGCGTCTTTAATAAGCTCAGCTGCATTCAACTTAAGAAAATTGAGAGCGCCAGTGGAGGGGGAAGAAAACAAGGAGAGTGCGGTACAGTAAAGCTCTCTTCTTCAACAAAGAGTTAAACATCTTTTTTAGAATTATAAAATTTATGTTATATCTTAAAATTTATTATATTTATTTTGCAATATTCACTTATCGAAAACCTAAATGAAAAGGTAAAAAAACATTGCTTCAAAAGTGATATTCTTAACTTTTCTTTTTTGAAATACCAAATATTACGACTTTTATTTCGGATTTAACAATTGAAAAGTTCGTTTGTAGGAGTTCTACTGTACTGCCAGCGAAGGAGGCAAAAGAAAAACTGTCGCTGTCAACTGTCAAGAAGGGGGCGTGGTCCTGGTCTCGGACGATGTCTCTTGAGTGGCACTTGGTTCGCTTACAAGAGCCATCGAAGTGAAGGGAAGTGGGGCCAGGCCAGGAACACGATGAAGGCGAAGAAGTCGCAGCATGGGCACTTTTTATTATCCACATCAGTAGAAGGTCCCAGCGTCCCTCTCATCACCATCATTATCATCATCATCATTCAGCGTCTTCTTCTCCGGCTTTTGAATTGCTAATAATTTTGTCGCAAGCGTTTGATGGTTTACTCACTCGGAAATAAAGGCACCACCGCCGACATTGCTGCAGCACCACCTATAGCCATTCCCAGTGCGACTGGGACTGCAACCACCCATCCGTGGATCCCGGCCCGGAACTAGAGTTATGTACATAACTGAATATATAGCCATAAATTTAGGGTAGGTCATAGCCACTCTGGAGTGTAATATTGTTGCACATACTTATTGCTAGTGCCCATTAATGCATAGAAAAGCCACCCTTTCGTACTACCCCCAAGATCCTCGTTGAATTTTTTAAAGCTAAGCCCAAAGCCAACTTGATGATTCATACGCCCCCTCAAAAGCCGAAGAGAATTTCGGAACTACCACCACTATACGGCATATGGGGAGGTCGGTCTCTTCAGAACCCCTTGACAAAAAAGTGCAATGCAATTAATTTTTCGCGAAACTTTTTTTCGGGGAAGGGAGTAGCTTTGTCCATCCCGCTCACACATTTACACGCAGAGAATGGGAAGTGGTTTTTATATTTTCAAAATGTTATAATATTTAACTAAGATTTAAGGTTCATATGAGCCTACATAACTTTTAGTGGGTGTTAAAAATATTCTGTTTCGTATTTTCTTCCTATAATACTGAATCGACAGATCTAATATAAAACTCTTTTTTCTTATGTGTAATTTTTTGTTCACTCCTCTTTTCATCTTGCTCAAGTGACATTTTAGTGTTTGCATTTGACGCAGCGGACGAGGAATTCACAATGTGAATGGATCACAACCAGTCCCAGTATATATGTACCGTATAGATATAGGGTTGTTCCGCCGCCTCGCATCTGCGAAATGTTTATTTTATTGTTTACCCATCTCCATCGCCCAGTCCCACGGTCGCGGTTCATTAAATTAAAAACGGCCAATTCGAGTTATTCGAATTCGCAGTAATACATCAAAAAACATCGGCTTGCGGAGGGTGGGTGGACAGGGTGTTGTTTTGCCGGCAGTTGCAGCTGATCGAAGTGGGTGGGGAAAGCTGGGAGGCGGGGGAAAGCAGGTTCACAGCAGCTGTTCTCTCGGTGAAATGCGGCGAATTCGCCAGTCGCTCTCTCACATTTCACAGAGAAACTCCAACGAGGGTTGTTTTCCCAGTTCCACGCTCCTTTTCATCCTTTTCGTCCTTTTTATCATTGTTTCGCCGGCTTTCGAGAGCAACACAAATGTTCGCCATCGGTCGCGTGTTTTTTTAAAGAGTTTTTTTTTATTTTGCCTTCCTGGAAATTATATCTTTTCTTCTAATTTAAGCCCCGTTGTTTGCTTTCTGCCGAAATTTATTCCGCTTTGGGGAGAGGCAACCCCCTACCCCTTCACTCTTCAGCCAGACACATTTTCTGGCTCCAACTCGGTTGTTATTTTTACGGTTTTGTGGTCTCGCAAAGTTTGGGTACCGGCAACCAAAGAAAAACAACTCAAGGAATCACCAGAGTAATCTCATTTGGAATGGAATAAACTGTAACAATAACGAGGAATAAAGATGGTAAGAATCAATTGTGCAGGATTTTTAAATTTTCCAATTTGGGAAAAGGCCACCCGCCGTTGAATCTGCATGTTAATTAATAATAAGCATGTTCATATTTTTCCCCCTTGTTGAAAACGGGGGTTCATGTTAATCCCAACTGCGATTTGAGAGCGATCGTTAAGAACACGCGTGGAATTTTCCCTTTTGATAAACTCCCCCGTCAGGAGGACAATGGATGATTTTTATGGGATAGGACATGGCAGATAGGGGGGTTGCCAAGAGAAAGAGTATTAAAAAATGTTTTATTCTTATTTTTACACAGTGAAAATATATTATAAATATTATACATAAATATTTTTAACTATATCAATAATCATATATTTCAAATTAATTGATATTTATATTATAAACACAAAGTTCTATAAAGATTTCGTCATATTAAGTAAACTTATCTATCGAAATGTTATTTCAAAATTCGTGTTTACCTTGTTAGTCATACCAAACTTCAAACACATAAGATACATTTACTGTTCTGATTCTCCCTGTGTAAATTAGAGCTTCAGTCTGAGGGATGGCCCGGACATCTTACGGAAGTGCGTTTGCGGGTGCAAATGGCCGTATGATGCGCCACCCTTCGCCAAAAGCCTTCGATTCGCCCAATCCGCCGGCTGGTTCGTCCTTTTTTATCCCCAGGACACGGGTGCAACATGTTGCCGGGATTTGTTTTGTTAATTTCTGTTTTGGGTGCGGGGCTATGTGTTCGCTGAACCCCTTAAATCATTTTTCGGGCCACCCTCGGCGTGTTGCAAGCCGCATGCTAATTAAAACCTGTGCGGAGTTTGGTCTTTGAACCTTTTTGCCTGCCTGGGTAGCCAAAAGTTTCGATTAATTAATAAAGAATTCATGTCTGATTTTATAACTTACTGTTGGCGAATAAAGAAATAAATAACTTCATCAATAAGCTCCGCTGTCGGCACCGCTTTCGTGGCCCCCGCCGCTTACTCCCTCGCTTTTATGAGAGAAATTCACAATGAATATTTATGCGCGTCGCCTTCTGAATGGGAAATGTGAAAGGGGGCGGGGGTTTTGGGCGGTTGGGTGGTGCAGTGGCCAACAGCTGCCGACAGGCGCACCAGTTGCCCGAAATAGCGTCTTGGGTGGGAAAAAGGGGGCCTTCTGCTGCGAGAGAGAGTGGTCCAAACGCTTTGGCTCTCTAATTTTATTAACACGTTCATCATTCCTCGCCATTCGACGGCACAAGTGGCGCCTGAGGACGGCAATCAGTCTGGGGATCCCCAATTTTCGCCCCATACCCATGCCCCCCTCTTCCCCCTTCCCCTTCCCATTGCCAACGGCTGCCGCCTGCTGTTGCCTACAATTTTTCAGCAAGGGGGCATTTTCATATTGGTCTCCTCGGCAGCCTCATGCATGAAGGCGAATTAATATAAATTATTGCATATATTTGTAATTCCGGGTGCCTCCTTAAACGGGTGGCCAGGGGGGTGTAATGAGGGGGTGGTGGGTGGTTGGGAGGCTGGGTGGTTGCTGGGCGATTTCTTTATTGGCGCGTGCTGCTGCGTTTTATCGCTCCCGCTGCTCCCACTCCCATTTTATTACGGCTCCCTTTCTTTTGCCGCTGTTGCAGATGAAAGCGTTTTAGACATATTTCACTACACAAGAAATAAATTCAGAATGATTTTTAATAAAATTCTTATTTTTATTTGAATTTATTTATTACATATTGTTACAAACCTAATTTATTTAATAGAAAAATTTTGGCAATTCATCATTACATTCAAAATAAAATATTTTAAAAACATAAAAATATCTTTCCTTGATTGAATAAAATTACGTTAGCAATCCCTTTTTCTCTCTGTGAATTTTAGGGGAGCAACAAAAGACTTGCAGCACAGCCCAGGAATTCGTAGCCAAGTGGAGCGCAGAGTTCTTATTACCGGGAATTTTAGGAATCTGAAGCAGGTCTCTTGCATAATTAAATTGATTAATAGCCACAAGGAAGTTTCCCAAAGGGGGTATTCCATGCCCACATTCTATGAGGAACTCTCGACTGAGCAAACAGAATCGACTCTTATCTTTATCTCTATGTCTATATCTCTCTACACCTATTTGCTTGTGCTGTAATCTCAGACACTTTAATAGTACTTACGATATTCAGCGATTCGTTTACACTCGAATGTGTAAATGTTGTGGCTGTTGTCGTTCATTTTGTTAGCACTAAGGCAAACAATTTATAACAAACCGTCTGGATGTGTTTTATCGTCACGTCACACAGATGAAAAAGTCGTGATGTAATTTTTTATCGATTACAGTTGACGCGGGGGAAAAGTGTGGAGAAAATGGAGCCAGGGTCTGGGTTGTTGACTCCAGTGATTTATGGTGTTGCATGCATCCAAGTTCCTGGCTTGTTCTAATGTATCAGTAGTATCAGACCCCTCGAATTTCCAACCCCTCGATTCGGCTCCTTTGTCGCTGTCCATTAGCTTGTAAAACGCTGCTGATTGGCACTGTGATATGGACAATTAAATTGTCGTTCTTAATCAGCGCCGAGTGCACTAATTCATTGTGTTTAATTTCTTTCGCATTTTATTTAATGTTTTTTTCCATTTCTTTCTTTTTTCGTGCCCCGGTCAATTGCACTTTTTCAGATCCAATGCGGGTCGCCAACGTTCGAGAAGGAATTGCGCGAACAAATTGAGAAGTAAGTGACAAATAAGCTAAATTGTTAAACGCGATAACAACACTTCCAGTGGGTGGAAAATAAACAAAGAAAGCGGGTGGATCGGATCGACTATAGGCCAGAACTTTAGCATTTCCAAGCTCCATTTACCGGCCAAATATTTATTTAATTTGTCTAGCCGGCAATTTTGGAGTAGTTTTCGCGCTGCTTTTGGCAAACCGTACGTAAATAACTCATACCCAAAACTCGTGACCGGCCACGCCCCCTTCGGCCCTCTTGGCCATTACGCACAGAACAAGTTAACGGCACAGCGAATGCAATTTTCCAAATTGCCAAGAATCGGAGGATGAAGAAGGAAGCGCTTGCTGGCGAAACCCATCAATCACCGAAGCCCTCGACCCGCAGCGCCCTCTGCCGGCCCGAATACGTAATTACCGCGATTGGGAAATGGTGCAAAGTTCTGGTCTAGGCCGAGATTTAACTTCTCTTTCGGACCTTTCTTTCTTTATGACCACCATTAGCTGCTAATTTCCATGCAGATTGTTTACGCAAGCGTTTCTTTTTAAGCACCACACAGCATGGAATTCCGATGAGTGATTACTTATTTACGATATTATGATCCCGCTATTACTTTAACAACTTACTAGATTTTTTAGTTAATACTAAAAGATAATTTCTTTATAATTTGTTTTTGGAATTTAAAAACGTTTAATTTAAATATATCAATATATTTGTAAAAAGTTTATGAACTCATTATATTATTCATGCTTGACTCACTCAAAAATTTAAAGTAAAATATTTTTAAAGCAAATCCGTTGTTGGTAAATTGAGTCGTAAACAAAGATTTAAAGAAGTTTTCACTGTAAATATTTTGGAATTTTGAAAGTACCCATAATAACACCCTAGAATCAATACAATCAAATCATATTTCCATTCAGCCACTCATAAATAAGTAATCAATCCGCGGAGTTCTCTGCTGGAAGCGCCCCACGTTTGCGATGATTTTTGCAACTCGTTTTCATTTATGCATTTCTATATTTGTCCTCTTTTTTTCGCTTTCCCTTTGGCATCCGCATCCGAATCCGAATCCGAATCCGCAGCATGAATCGCATTATGAAATCCAAAGAACGCAAGCAAATGCAGACATGTCGGGATCACAAGGCACTGCAGGTATGTATCGGATGGAAATGGAAAATGGGAAAAGGGACTAGGGAGGAGGGGCTTTTCCGCACGGAGCCGCGCAGCATGTGGAAAATCAATTTGCACAGCGCGAGTTTCCTTGTGAAAAGTTTGGGCGGAGGGATTCCCTCCGAGTCGAGTCATAAATAAACGCATAAATTCATTTTTAAGAACAATCTCTCCCCTCGCTGCCATTGCGTCGCATATAAATTGTCTCTTATCCGGACGGAGTAACTGGAGTCGTCGTAGTCGGCGAGACTTTGTTGGCAAAATGCTTTCTGGCCGGGCCCATTACATTTTTTGCCCGAATTGATTGAGCGTCGGCATTAGAGACGCTTCACTGCGCCCCAGTGGCAGCTTTTCATTACCATTTTCCAGAAGTTGCGGCGGTGGGGGGAATGGAAAATGCTTTCCCTTTCGTCGTTAACTTCTGGCAATCTCATTTGCCCCGCCAGCCCCCAAAATCTCACCCAATCTCGTAAGGCCCCGCTAATGAAGCCCAAGGTTTCCACGTCCCATGGCTACATGTGACCTTCTGGCCAGCCAACAAGTTGGCTTTGATCGAGATTGGATATTTGTTACTCGTTTGGGATCTCGGGGAGGGGGTCTTGTAACTACTGCTCACTTAGCACTTACAGATAAAGAGCCGGTTGATGGATGGATGAATGGTTGGGGAGCCGGCTGGCGGGTGGGAGTGGGTGACCCTCATCAGGGCAGCTGTCACGGAGCGAAGGTTGCCCCCCAGCACTTGATAAATACTCGATCTAATCAGTTGGCCCTTTCTCAACGGAGGTGTTCACTGCATGGATCGTTTTCTTTGGGCTTTGTGTAATATCACGTGAAAAGCCAACACTTTATTAGCGGGGTTTTTAAAAGTCAAGCGAGGATAATATGAAGATTTGCCATTTATCCGAGATTGTCTACCATGAGCTGAAATTTTATACAACAAAAAATTTCACGATGCCTAGAAAATATATTAAACTGTAAACCCTTAAAAAATTAATATTTTTGGCTATTAAATTGTGTTATTTGAACATAACTCATAGTAATGGTGTTACAGGTTGTCTAAACCAAACACCAATTCACAGATAATAAATACCAGGGAACGTAACTGTTATAAGTTTTATTTTAAAAATCACACTTTAACAGTTATTTTCTGATTTGTAAAGTAAAACTCAAAGAATAACTGTTATTTTTTGAGTTTTATAATAAAAGTTGACAAATAACAGTTATTCGTCGTGATCAAAATAAAACTCAAACTTGATTTATGGCGATTTTGTGGGTAAACAAAATTTTAAAAAAATATAGGTATAAAATATGCGCGGTTGCCTTTTTTAACAAATTTTTAGTAAGTTATTAAAAGCACGGGTATTATGTTTTTTTAATTATTTCATTTTTTCAAAAATGTCTAGGGAATAACTGTTATTCATAAAAATCAAAAAATAACAGTTATTTTTGAGTTTTATTATAAAAATCAAAAAATAAAAATCATTACGGATTTGTAAACTACAATGGCTAATAAAAATTGTGGTGTATTTAAAAAATTTTTAGGACCCTTCTAAGTGCGTGATTTTTTTGTATGAAAAATTTACAATAACAGTTATTTTCGTTCCCTGATAAATACTGATACATATGTGTGATTTTTATCACAAACTTATCTCAATAAAAACGAAACAGAATAGCATATGTTTCAGTGGAATATTGCGTTAGGGTTTCCAAATAATATTAAAGATCATTTTCGAATGGGATAAGATAATAATAATAACATTTTCGTTTTCAATTACTTTCCAGACCCGCTTCGCCCGCCAGGAGAGCCTGCTCCAATCGATGCAGCAGGAGAATCGCTCCCTGCTCACCCGAATCCGGCAGTACGAGCACTGCCTGGACGATGTGATGCGCAAGGTGGTGGACGCCATCGTGGCGGAGGACAATCTCCGGGAGGAGGTGAGCATGCTGAAGGGCAGGGTTCGGGATCTGGAGGCCCAGAATGCCGCCCTGTCCGCCAGTCCGGTGAAGGGCCGGGACGAGGGCTACTGCACCATGAGCAGTGGTCAGCCGCAGCCGTCGAACGGACACCTGGAGGATCTGCCCGAGGAGCCGGAGCAGTGGCTCCTGCCCGCCGAGCCCTGCTCCACGGAAATGGAGGACTGGAGCATGTCGCAGGAGGAGCTGGCGGTGATGACCTTCGACGACGAGCGGGATCATCGGGATCAGCGGCAGCATCCGCAGCAGCAGCAGCAGCGGAGGAAGAGGGAACACGACTGGCTGTGGCCATCCAGCGACTTTATCAACTCCACCACCGTGGAGACGGATTCGGTGGCCGATGGCATTGCTCAGCTGCTGCAGCAGAAGGTAGGCGACGCAAAAGCTGGAGAGGATGGGCAAGATACTCACACTACTCCTCCTACATTTCAGATCGTTTACTCCGAGGACGAGGAGGTGGCCTGCACGGACTTTACCAACGACTTCTACAAGCTGGTCAACATCCGTTCGAACTCCTCGCGCAGCCTTTACTCCTACCTGGAGGGCGAGACGGATGACGAGGACGACGAGGAAGAGGACGAGGACGACGGCGAGGATTCCAGCATGTCGGAGAGCCAGGTGGGACCGGCGGGTCGAGTTCCCGGAGCCAGTCCCACGCCCAGCGAGGCGGGACGCGCCCAGTTGACCAGCTGCTCCTCCAGCGAAACGGACGAACTGTCCGCCAGTCAGGCGAAGAAGGATGAGGAGCCCGATTACGCGGTAATCGATGAATGCCGGCGGCGGGTAAGCGACATAGAAATCGAGGATGTGCCCATGATTGTAAGCAGCAGCACGCCAATGAAGCCGCTGGACGAGCAACAGTGCATTGCGCAGATCATCAAGAGTGAACTGCGACGACCGCCGCATGTCCTGGTCAAATCCAAGTCGGTGCTGGAGGAGCAGGAGCCCAGCTGCATCCTGCGACACAATCAGCGCCGCGAACTCGAGTCCACCGTGGTGCGCAGCGATAGCATCAGCTGTGGCATGATGACCAAGTTGGGGAAGGAGGTGGTGGTGCCACCGGCGCCCGGGATGGTGACCAAGCTGAAGGAGCGGATGCTGCTGAGGCAGGCTTCCACGCCTCCGACAGCCAGCTCCTGGCGCAGGAGCAACGGCTGGAAGAGGGTCACCTCGCCGGTTCACCCACCAGCGGCCGTTTCGCCAAAGAAGGTGGGGGATTTTTAAACCTAAACCCTATATTATACATTATTATAATCTAATAAATTCAACTTGCAGAAGGAAGCCAAGTCAACGGAGCCGCCAAAGAGTTGCCTGCCCAAAGCGCAGCCCACCAGAATTCCAACGAGCATCCATTCGTCGGTGTCCTCGTCCTCCTCGATGTCCTCGTCCTGCTCGCCCTCGCCCTCCTCCCCCTCGCCGCAGTCGCCGCAGCAAAGGTCACCGGGTCAGCAGCCCCAGAAGCAGCAGCAGCAGCAGCGAAAGTCGAAAATTCCTCCACCAGTTCCCGTGCGACGATCCTACGCCAGTTAGGATAAGCCCAAACTGCCTAATCTCAAATCAATAATCGTCAAGCTAACAAATATTTAAAGATTTAAAAAGACTAAATTGTGATATATTCAAACAAAACAAAACAGAAGAGAAGTGAACAGAACCGAAAGATACAGAAGATGATTAAGATTACGGAGGAGGAGCCAGCGAATACGAGTATTTATGTAGATTGTACATTTTTTGGAAGATGTTTTACCTTGTAAGCGGCACTGCCAACTGTTCCCCCTGAAAAAAAAACCAAACCGAACAGCTCGCCCTGCTCTATCGCATATATTTTGTAGAGCAGACGTTGCAGCCACTAAATCAGTAGGTTATACTAACTATAATGGGACACTTTGATCGATTCAAACTGAATTCAAACCACTATTAGCTATGGTCATGATTAGATGAACCAATACCGTCTTCCGCATCTGTAGGACATGGTTAACACACAAACTAAGCCGAGTTAGTAGCTCCTCACACAGCAGTTGAACACTTGCATTTAAGGGTGAAATATTTCAAGGTGTTTAGGAGGCATATATAAGGCATACGACCTATAAAAACATATTTATACGGTTTCTAGGCGAACATTAAACGACAACCATAACAATAAACTGTACATAGCAGTCGTTCCGAGATCCGAAACTAATGACAAAGCTCTTCTTCAACCGTAGTTAGCTCCTCAGGGGCTGCTGCCACCGACTAATTCAATGCAGCAGTCCGATTCCTAAGCATATATATTATATATACCTACACTATATAGAACAGAACGCACTATGATCGAGAGTCGAGAGGAGGGAACTTAGATGTAAGCTCGTATAAACATTACAAATGTATTTTCTTAGCGTAGCGAGTACAAAATAAACAAAAAGAAGTTACACAAAAATAAATTATTGACCTAACCAGTGGCCTCGCCTCCTTCAAAAGCGGTTATCTCGGGCGGTTTGGTAAAATCTTACATAAATACGGGTATGTAGTACTAATCAATAACATAAAAGGCAAACAAACACGGGTTCACTTGGGCTATTTTTGAGGTGAGAGAATGAGCTCCAGTTCGTGCTTCAGCTGGAAAGAACTCAAACGTGATTCCGGGGCGCTGACCCAGCAGCTCTTGTAAAGATTGGAATAGGCGCTTTCCAGGCACGCACTCGCCTCTGGCGCCGGGCCATTACTATCGAAGTGGAGTGCTAATCGGTTGCGGCGGCATTTCTTTTTCAGATCGCCACGGCCGGCGGTGTAAGATGGATCGAGGCTTAAATTACGGCGGGCTGAGGAATTTGCCCTTCTGTACATCACATCATTCCAATTACTATCGCCGGGGCAGTCCAAAGCTAGAATCTTTAACTGATGGTAGTTATCCGGCCGCAGTTCGTGCTTGACCACCTGGTAGGCAATGGTCTCATTGCAGTCGAGCGGGTGATAGGGCAATCTGCGGGCCTGCAATTGCCACATCGTAATGCCCAGGGAATAGATATCGGAGGCTTCGGATAGAATGTCGGAGCGGAGGACTTCTGGAGACATATATCTCAGGGTTCCATTGGCATTGGTTGGGTCCTGTCTGGCACACAGTTCGCCCATTTCGATGGACGAGCCAAAGTCGCAGAGCTTGCAGATGTAACTGCGTTTGACCTTCGAAAAGTTGCCAACCCCTGAAGACTTTATTCCCAGGGCAACCAAAATATTGGTTGGCTTTACATCCAGATGTAATACATTCTGGGAATGGCAGTATCTCAGGGCGGCCACCACATCCAGGGTTATTCTGAAAGGATAATAGGTGATTTTAAGTTGTAGGTCATAGGAAATGGGATCGTACAAAACCCTGTGCATCAGTGGTAGCGCCAAAGTGTCTACGATCCTCTGCAGACATTGTCCCCTGGGACATTCCATGATGACCAAGCCGAACTCCACGGCGGATTCTAGTTTCAGAAGGCGCACAATGTTTCTGTGTTGCAAGTTCATCAAATGCGATTCATTGTGCAATGTTGAAGTCGCCTGGGCTCGAATGATCTTCACAGCAACGGAGCGATCTGCATGGGATCCTTGGGTAGATTTGATATATTTTTTGGGATCTTAGCATTCTTACCCCGATAGATGGCTTTAAATACCGTGCCGTAGGCTCCACGTCCCAGTATCTGACACCTGGTGGACACGGGGCGACCATCCTTGAGCAATTGCTTCCTTTTTGGCGTGTTCAGCAAAAGCTCACCCATTTGTCTGCCAACTGAAAAATACTTATATCGATTTTAAATTTTTTAAATATAATAAATCCACATGGTCAACTTTCTAACGGTGAACTTTTAAAACAGCTGGGCGATAATGTGGCCCCACTTCTTTTAATCTTTCCAAAACGATATTCATCGCTTCATTTTAAAATTAAAAAGAAAACAAAGAAATTCAATGTGAGCCTTTTATTTTATCAGCCAAATTATTCCCTCTACTCAAATAAATTTCAATATTGTATATTTACACTAATAATGCACACGGTTTCACTTGAAGTGCCTCTCCAGCAATTACATCGTAAAGAAATAACCATAATACACGCAAATACAATTATAATAAATGGATTGTAAGGGCTTTCGAGGGTTCATTTTAGGCTTAATACTATACAAATAAATATTATTACAAATGTTGGCCGCTGGGCTTTTCCATGATAATTTCCTAGTTGCGTTCTCTGTGCAATTTCTCGGTCTCCGCCCGCAAGCCCTGTACAAATTTAAAGTTATTAAGGTATTTAAAAATATAGAAAAGGAAATTTACCCGAAAGGCTTCCTGGATTTTGTCTGTTATGAGCTTCCGCGCCGTGGGCTCCGGCACCTGGCGCTTTTTGAGGTCCGTAATAAAATCGGTGAGGTCCAAGGGCTGACCCACATTCACGGTGACCTTCTTGCCCCGCTGTATCACATAGGGCTCCACATTCGGCAACAGGTCATCCATGCCCTCGTGCCACATGGGCAGAATGATGGGAATCTTGGGTGACTCGTAGATGATTCTGCCCACGCCCCACTTGAGTCGCAGCTCCTCCTTCTCCATGTTCACCTTGCCCTCGGGAAAGACGTGGATCCAGTGGCCCAGAGCGGCCTTCTCGATGCACAGGTTGATCGCCTCCTGGTAGACACCGATGCCACGCACAACAGGAATGCACTTGCCTGCAAATGGGAAGGAAGCTGTTAGTCATCTTTGATTTTTAAGTATAAGCAGTTTAGAAATTATTCGCCAGTTCTAGGAATAAATCATCAACCAATATTAAACACTTGTGGAACTATACGCAATCTTTATCGTTCCCAAAAAAAGTTAGAAATTGTATCTCTCTTTTGGATTGAAAAATATGAATAAATAGGTACATGGCGAAAATAAGAATATATAAATAGAAATGGTAATATAATACCCAGTCTTTAGGTCAATTATTTTGTGAGTAAAGATTTGAGAATAAACAGAACATTGTTGAAGAAATAATTTTTCGGGGTGCCACAGAAATCGATTAGCGTTCTTAGAAAAGTATAAATATTGGAAATGAGTTTTTTGTTTAAGATACAAGTCTATGTTTAAATTGTATGGACTCCATATTAAATATATATTTTACTTTCCTTGTTTACATTAGTTAAGAATTTTGACGTCTTTAAGTTTTATAAAGGGGTATCTCCGAAAGAACAACCAACAAAAGTCGGTTGGAATTCATACGTAAATACAAAAATCAATATAAATTCCAAGACATTTTTGAGACTCCTACAATAGTAACTATTTTTTTCCAATAGAGAAAAAAAATTTAAATTCCTCCAATCCTACTCCATCTAGTCCCTAAAAACTCTTACCAAACATGAAGAAGAGCGAGTGCCTCCTGTTGGTGAAGCAGATGTCGTGGGCGGCCATCGACCAGCGGATTTTGTAGGTGTTGCACACGAGTCCCATGGGCAGGCAGCCCCACAGGCCGGGATCGTCGAAGCAGGAGTAGTGGTTGGACACGGTCAGCAGGGGAACGCCCTGGGGTCGCTTCGAAATCAGGCTGACCAGTCGCTCCTTGTTGTAGACGCGGGGTTTGTTCAGGAACACTGAAGATGTAGAAATAGAGAGGCGAGAGATCAGCATATGCATAATTGTGTAGGGGCACCAATTAACCACACGGCACACGTTTGACCTCGATGAGCGAGATCAGCATCGTCAGCATCCGCACATCGTTTATCAATCGAGAGATGCGCAGATTCGCAGACACATTCGCATTCACATTCACGGTCAGGGGCATAAGCTCTCCGAGCGCTTCGGTTGGCCAAAAATAAACGTGCCTTTGGGCCAGTTTATTGGGTAAGGTCGGCTCCGCCGGGTAGATACTCACTGAGCACGATCTTGCTGAAGATTCCGACGGCGGAGACGACAAACTGGCTGGCCATGTACCAGAACCTCGTGGGGTTCCGCAGCCTCGGGAAGATCCAGTCGATGTTGTAGGGCACCGGCACCGGGGCACCGGGGTCCACATCCAGGGCGGGATCGGCCGACCGAACGTCGGACATCGGTGGCGCGAGGGGAGGCGACGGTGACGGCGGAGGCTGGGACAGATCCTTGGGCTGGCTGCTCCTCACGGTCTGCGTGGCGATATCCTTCCGATCCTGCTGCTGCTGCTGCTGCTGGCTGGCCGGAAACCGCTCATCGGGCACTGGCCGCGCCTCCGGAGCTTGGACGTACTGCTGTGGGTGGGAGATAAGGGTGGAAATTGAATTACCAGGGGGAGTCACATTGCAAATCCCGCCGCTAACCATGGATAGCCTTTAATCTTATCGCTCCCAAGAATAGTTTCCTTTTGTGTTTGTGTCTGGCCGGATGCCCTTCTGAGTTACGCATTTTGATTTGAATATTCGAGTTAGGTATTTTGCTTTGTCAACTTTTGGATTGACTACCACCCCCACCCCCCGAAAAGGCGTCTTTGTGCCACAGGTTAGCAGCATGCGCAGTGAAAATCCGCTGCGGAAATCCACGTTGCACTTTCGCAGGAAAAACTCACGGCGTCAGAGATCCAAGCCAAGGCGACCTTCACTCAGCGCGAGACGAGGGGCATTACACTTGGCACCTGCTTTAGGCACCGAGAATCTTTTGCATCCGGACGGCGGGAACTTTCGAGCGTAACTGATTTTCGTCTCGTCCAAAAGCGCCAAGTGCAACAGGCGCAGAAAGCACGCACAAAACGGGGGCGGTTCGCTTGGGGGGAACAAAGAGAGACAAAGCGAGAAAGAGCGAAAGAAAGGGCGCTAGCGGAGTGAGGCAACAGTCAAGTGGTCGACTAGAGATTGTGAAACTATCTTTATCAGTTGGCAAAAGTGCTTAGCCAAGCGCTTCCGTGAATAATGATCACGTTGCTGCGACTTGACGAGAGATAAGCATTCGAATTTGGGCGCCCAAAGTGGTGGATTTGGGTACTACGTAGGTGCAAAGTGGGGAGTTTCGAAAGAGTGCTCTTATCACTTGCTTAACACGGATTATTTAGCAAGATAGTACTGATGGAAAGGGGTATGTTGTTTACTTAAGGTATGTAGGTCTACTACTACTGATATAAATTAATTAAAAATAATATAAAACCTATTTATAAATTTAAAAAAAATAACAATATTTTATTACGTTTTGTTACCAAGCCTAAAAATTATAATAGACCAATATTTAACATTAATTTTTTTTGGCACTGAAAACAATTAATTTTTTTTAAAAAAAAAATTATTTGTAAAAAATATTTTTAAACCCTAATCTTTTTTAATTTTAAACTTGTTTAAGTTTAAAGGTTCCTTGGTCTTATTAATTTAAACTTTCCCGCCAACGGTGGTGGGAATGGCAAGTGGTTAATTTTGGAACGTGGTGAAAAAGAAGAGAAAGCGATGGCCTGATTTTGTTTATATTTATTGGGTGCTCTTAGGTGGAATATTTAACGACTCAATTGCTATAATTAAGCTCACCCGGGACAGCGCCTGGATCGGCGGTCTATATCCTCCGCTGATCAGCCAATTTAGGTTCCGCATGGCGGAGGCGGCGCCCACGTGCCCGGGACGCCTCAAGTTGGAACACATGACCATCAACATTTTGAGGAGTTCTTAATTTTACGAGTACGATATGCGTGGGCAGTTGGCGGTTTTTGTAGAGGTTTTACATAACCGGCTCTTGTAGGCCGAATAAAATACACTTTGCAATTTGGGACGCGCACTGCTAGCTTCTTCCTCCAACCGCCACTTCTTCACCTCAGCTGCAAACTCAGGGGCGTACGGTCAGGGGGCGCCGAATCCGTTTGGCGCATGTCTGAAGGGGGGCGTAATTTCGGCGGGGGGTCGGCGAAGGTGCTCAAGGTCGGGCCAAAAGAAATCTTGAAGAAACTAGAAATTTGAAGGAAAACAAAACCGAAACAGCTGTTTTTTGCCATTCACCTCGAACTTAATCTGGCCATTTTGCAGCACTAACCACTTTTCGGCTGCCCTGACCAACACTGGCTTTTTTCCAAAATATTTGTCGTGGTTTTGGAATTCCCTCTTAAATATCAATTAAAGCATCGATTTTGCCGGAATTCCTGTACACAGTATGTCTCGCAGTGCTCGCCCCCTCACCTCCGCCCGTGTCCTGCACAAAATCAAGGCTCTGAGCACCCCGCAAGCGAGCCAGGAATATGTGATCAACCGGAACCCCAGGAATCTGGAGCGATTACGAATTGCCTACAAGCCGGGCGGCTATCACCTGGAGAAACCAGGCCGCTCCTACTGGCACACGCTGGAGATCAACACCAGTGGTCGGTATGTCAGCGCCGACGTGAAGCACTTCGAGAATGGAACCATCCTGAGTGCCAGCACCTCGGAATGGGCCATCAAACAGCAGCTCTACAAGACCAACGACACCTCGGCGTTCGTGAATCTGGGTAGAGTGCTGGCCCATCGCTGCCTGCAGTCGGGAATTACCGAGATGACCTGCAACGTGGAGGCGGTGCCCGGGAGCAAGCTGCAGAAGCTGCTCCAAACGCTCCAGGACAATGGTGTGTCCTTCAAGGAGCCCCCTCGCCTGGCCAACCAACAGCCCTGGGATGCTGAGAGGCACGAGAAGCCTTGGGAGGTGCTGGATGGATCCCTGGAACCCCCAACATCGAAATAACCAAAAGAAACCCCCGTTTAGTTTTCGTTTCGTTTAGAATAAACGTTGATTTTTATTGCTAATTACAACGAATCATGGTAGTTTATTCGTATTTGCCCTTGATGTCCTTCCAGAGCTTCTGCAAGGGGGAAAGAACTTAGTATTTGGCCAGGAAACTGGTATTACATAAGCGGATTGCACTTACGCCTTTGTTGATGCCCTCGAAGATCGCAACCGACGTGACATCGATGGCGCGCTCGAAGAAGAAGGCCGACGCGATGATGGCCACGGCGTAGGTGGAGGTGCGCTTGAACAGGGTGTTGTAGATGACCTTCATGTTGGCTGGATTTTCGTTAAAAACTCTTGATTTGTAAGCAGACCAACTTTTTCACACGCCAAATTCACAGCTGATTTCGTTGACAAGCAGTGTGGGGTAATGTCGAAACACTGACAGCTGGGGTGACCATTCTCCCGATACGTCTCTGATTGTTATCGAAAGGGGCCCCACCTCTAGTCGACGGGGCAAAAACAAACGACTGCGTGAAAATGCCAAATTACCAGGATATTTAGCGTAATTGGGGATTCTCTGCGCGGGAGCATGGACATAGCCACCATCGAGCTGAGCGTCGAGGCGCTGATTGGGTCGCTCCTGGCCCTGGGCGTCCTGTTCGCCTTCTGTCGCAGTCTGCTCGCCGAGGACTTTGTGAGCACCTTCAAAACACGTCACAGCTGGAAATCGATAAAGGTCTTGGAGCAGGTGAGTTGGTTAGACCTTTTGGAAACCCACTATAGATTGGTATTATCCACCAGGCCTGCTTCTGCAACGTCTGCGAGATCCTGCTGACCCCCTCCGCGGGACTCTTCTGCGACTGCTGCGGCCTGTGCACCCATGCCACGCCCCCCTGCCAGCGAAGGGCGGATAGGGAGTACCGCTGCAAGGACAAGTGGCTGCGCAACGAGTCCTCCGTGCGGCACCTGTGGGTCCACGGCAACCTGCCCATGGGCGTGCATTGCGCCGAGTGCCAGGAGGAGGTCGATCACCATGTGGCCACCGAACCGGGATTGTATGGCTGGCGGTGTGCCTGGTGCCAGCGGTGCTACCACAACGATTGCTACTCACGCGTGGATTCCAAGGGCGCCTGCGACTTTGGCGAGTTCAGGGACATGATCTTCCCGCCCTACAGCTTCGTGGCCGCCCGGACCAGGGACTCGATGCGCCTGCACCTGGCCAGCATCACGCCGCCGGACATCGAGAACTGGGAGCCACTGATTGTGATTGCCAACACCAAGTCGGGCAGCAGCACGGGCGCCAATGTGCTGTCCCTGCTGCGCGGCTACCTGCATCCGCTGCAGGTGATGGAGCTGGGCTCGCGCGGTCCCCAGGACGCCCTCCAGTGGGCGGCCAAGGCCAGTCCGCGACCATGTCGCATACTGGTGGCCGGCGGCGATGGCACCATCGGCTGGGTGCTCAATACCATTTATGCGCTGAACATCAAGCCCCAGCCCTCGGTGGCCATCATGCCGCTGGGCACTGGCAACGATTTGTCGCGAGTTCTGGGCTGGGGAGCCGAGCCCCCCTCGGTTCTCGATCCTGTCGAAATCCTGCGCAGCATACGGCGTGCCCGATCCGTGAATCTCGACCGCTATGACCTGCAGATCGAGAAACTGCACTACCGGCTGCCCATCCAGAGGCATCCCACGAAGACCATTCATGTGTACAACTATTTCAGCGTGGGCGTGGACGCGTTCATCACCTACAACTTTCACAAGACGCGCGAATCTCGATTCTATCTGCTCAGCAGTCGGATATTCAATAAGGTGGGATGCTAACTAGTGTGACTGGCTTTATCTCAATCTATGCAATCTTTACAGCTTCTGTACTTCACCTTTGGAACGCAGCAGGTGATGCAACCGGGCTGCGAGCACCTCGAGGAGAAGCTGACCCTGTACCTGGACAACAAGCCAGTGCAACTGCCGGAGTTGCAGGCACTGGTGTTCCTAAATATCGATTCCTGGGGAGCTGGCTGCAAGTTGTGCGAGCTGAGCAACTCGAATGGCGAAGTGCGAATGGTGAACTCCATCTCCGATGGCCTGATGGAGGTGTTTGGCATTGTCTCCTCCTTTCACATCGCCCAGCTGCAGTGCAATATAAGCAAGCCGGTGCGAATTGGCCAGGCCAAGCAAATAAGGGTAAGAATTAAAGGAAAGTTCTTATTGAGTAGCTGGTAATAAACATTCCCCCTTAGCTGCAAGTCAAGGAGACGGTGCCAATGCAGGCGGATGGCGAACCCTGGATGCAGAGTCCTGCGGACATACGTTTGTCCTCGCGCAGCCAGGCCCGCGTTCTCAAGCTGGCCGCCACCTAAACGTAGTAGCTAATTCCCAGTAGTAACCCCTTATGTGCCAGTCCCATAATCTCAAAGTACTTAACCCGGAACATCGGTAAGCTGTGGCATTTTAAGACATCCCCCAGAGGGCAAATCAAAGCTAGTCGAATGAAAATACACTAAATCGTATCTGAAAGAAATCCACTTTTATTAAGACTCAATAATCTTTTGAAATATAATTAAATGTTCGACTGGTGTAACATGCTGCCCGCGGGGGGCAGGCACAACATTTGGGTCAGTAGTGTATCGAAAGGCGGGTAAACAACAAAATCAGGAGTTCAGCATCAGCTGGAGCCCGCTTTAGAGCATGGTCAGCTCCATGATGGCGTTGACTATGTCGTTGCTGTTGTTCTTCAAGGCCTTGATGGCCTTGGCCCGCGTCGTGTTGGCCTGCGTGATGACCAGCTCGATGTCCTTCTCATCCACGCCGGTGTCATCGACCTCCTCCTCGTCTTCCTCGGCAATCGGGGCCACCGATGTGGTGGCTCCCACGCTGTCGGCAGCGCCAGCAGCCTCGGGGGCCTTGAACTTCTCGGCGGCAGCCACCTGGGCCTGCTGCGACAGATCCTCGATCTTGGCCTCGCCGAACACGATGTACGTGTCGCTGTGCGGGTTCTTGTACACATCGGGGTTGTTGATCACGAACAGGATGTTCTTCGACTTCCTGATCGTCACCCGGTTGACGCCCTGGATCTGCTTGAGTCCCAGCTTCAGCATGATCTTCCTGGCCTTCTTCTCGCCGCGCGACTGCTTAGCCTTGGACACCAGGTCGATGGGCAGGCCGGTGGCACCGCCGCCCAGCTGCGTGGTGGCCGCTCCAGCCTCCTCCAAACCGGGCATGCCGCCATCCGAGTCGCTGTCGCTGCCGTCGTCCTCGACGCGCACGTCCTCGGGTTTCGCCTCGGCGGAGGTGGAGGGCGCAGCCTCGTTCTTGATTTCGGTCAGTTCAGGCATCTTTATCTGCGGGGAAAAAAGTGGACAAGGTTCGGTTAGGTAATTGCATCGTGCTTTGGAACAATTAAGCCGGGGGAATACATCTGGCGCCGGTTCAAAGGGGCGGTCAGATGTCTCAGGTGGGGGTCGTTTTTCATCGATTTTTCAAATTCAATTCTACCCCCCAAATCGCCCGCCAAAGCTATCAATAATCGGCTAGCCTTGTAGATTAAAATCTCAAATCTGTTATTTCACATAAATCAAGGCAGGAATTCAAGGATATTTTGGTAAAATTGAATTTTATTAGAAAAACGCGGAGTACACACACTCACCGGAAACGAAGAAAAGAAATATGGCGGCGCTTAGCAGGGTGACCGGCTCTGAAAAATACTATATACTTTTTATGCCATTTTATTTTAAATCAAATATACCAAAAATACAGTCATGTCTGGTGGGTGTGTTTGCTAACTGAGACATAGCGGATACACCCTCCTGAAAAATACGTTTTATTTTGCTTTTTTTAAAACTTTTTAAGGATCTCTTTGAAAGGATTAATTTAACACGTAAATAATATATTTAAGGTGGTATTTTGTACTTTTTTGTTAAAAAACTAAGTGCCATCTAAATTTATTTACAAATCTTACAAATACTTAAACAAATTCCAACTGTCTTTAGATGGGCTAGATTTAGGGGATAAATACAACACCCACTCGGGTGAAAAGTGACAGGAAAATAAGTATTCAAAGAGTGTTCAGCACAAAAATGTTTCCAAAGCCGCCACTGGCTTGAACCATTGTTAAATTTATTGTTTTTTTATTTTATTTACTTTATTATCCAAGTGCTGCAGACGTAAGCTTATTATTATCGCACTAGACACTATCTAAAATTCAATTTACATTTACCCCAATACTGGCACTTGCATCTTTAACGCTATCACATTTTCTCAGGTGAAAATTATGTAGAATGGTCCAAACGTCTTTGTGCTCTCACCCATAGATCACAGCACCTGAGTGAGTAGTAATAAGAACAGTGGTATTATGTAAGCACTGGTTCGAAACTTGCTGTATCCTTCAGCTCCGGCTCCATTGTGTAAAGTTAATTATTAATTAATCGTCCCACAATGGTAGACCATATCTTGAATGGTGCTTGGGTGCACATTAGAATCGATTCCTTTGTCCTGTTATTAGGTGGACTGCAGTCCAGTCGACTGGTTAAAAGGGGAGTAAGAGAAAGGCATTAGGCAAAAATAATTAATGTTATCTAACAAATTCGGTCTGCCTACCAAAAATTTAAGGAATAGAGTGTAGTTTAAACTTTTTAATCCGTTTTAGGTGATTTTGTTTAAACAATTTAACAATTATTCAATTATAATTTACCTATTTGTGATTAGGTGATATCAGAAAATTGAAATAAAGTTAATTTAAAATTTTAATCAGAAACTGCAATGTAGTTTTAGATAGAACAAAACCAATCACATTAAAATGGTGTGCCATTCCCGAAATCGTGTTTTAATAGTTATTAGACTTAGAGAGAAGGTCGGGATAACCCACACCTCTTATGTAGACCCCTTGTCTGGGGTTACAAACAATTGATTAAACAATTAAATGACACAATTGGCTGAATGAATGCACTGGTTTCACAATAGAATGTTTGACGGAGCCAACTCTCCCCACCGCAGACTGTCACTTGAAGATGTCGATCTTCAGTTTGCTAGTGCATTCTACAAACGCTTCTCGAAGTGCTTCTTCACGCGCAGACGCTTGGAGGAGTATTCAATTAATTGAACTTGCCTGATAAGGCGAGTACTTCCACACTCGGTGCATGATTTCATTTATAAATTTGACTCGACTGACTTTGTTAGAGGAAGTGCACAGAGAAAAATCAAATATATAGTTACATAAAATAAAAAATTTGGTATTAACCAAAAAAAAACATGGAGAAAACAGGAAGAAAAGATCAGAAGAGAGCTCTTCTGGTCCTATAAACTAGATAAGTATTAGAACTTATGTAAATCAACCATCCCTATCTTAAAGTTCGAAAAGTATTAATTTCTTCAACATATAAGTCTTGATATTATAGAAGTGGCTATTTTATTTAGTACTGAAATCTTCCATAATTTAATTTATTTAATAAAAAAAGTAGAAACGGATGTCTACCCTTAATTTACCCTTTACCATAAACATTTATTTTGTGTGTAAAAATCTTTGCTACCCACGTATCCGTTGGATGGCAAAGTCCAGAGCTACTTTGTGGTGGGCGGGTTGGATGGGCGATAAGATCGGAGGAGACACACGCCAGATGACTGATCGCAGCTCCCTATCGGCATTAGATAACGGCCCCGGTGGAGTGGCCACTCCTGCAGCTAATAAAAAGCCCTGCTCGGGATCCGGAACCTCACAGTGAACGCTGCAACGTTCAGTCCACTAAACACCGAGAATGAAACTATCAATCCTCCTGATCGCCGTGGTGGCCCTGGTGGCCATGGTGTCGGCCAAGTCCGCTCCTGGACGCCTGGCAGCGCGGTATGACCACTTCAGGGTCTACCAACTGGCCATCGATACGGAATTGCAGATGGAGGAGCTCAAGAAGATTCACGAGCACATCTCTGTATGTAGATTCCAACATATTTAAGAAAATTTTATATTATGGAATCCCTTCAATAGGTGCACATCCTCAACGAACTGGGTGCTCCCGGACACAAGTACCACATTATTGTGGGTCCTTTGTTCCACAGGGTGTTCGAAAAGACCATGAAATTCCTGGAGATCGTCTACGAAGTGATTGTCGAGGATCTGCAGAAGTGAGTTAGGAAATCTCCCCGGAGTTACATTTCTAGAACCTTTTCTCCCCGTCCAGATTGATAGATGAGTCCTCTGTTGGCGACGATTCCGAAATGGAGTGGGAGTCCTACCACTCCCTGGAGACCATTTACGATTGGGTGGATAAGGAGTGCGCTGCCCACGACTTCCTGGAGTGCAAGGTGATTGGCCAGTCGTACGAGGGTCGGGACATCAAGAGCATCAAGCTGTCGAAGCGTTCGGGCAACAAGGCCATCTTCCTGGAGGGCAACATCCATGCCATGGAGTGGATCTCGTCGGCCACCGTCACCTTCCTGCTGAACCAGCTGATCAACTCCCAGGATCCGGAGATGCAACGCCTGAGCGAGGAGTACGATTGGATTGTGGTGCCCATGGTGAATCCGGATGGCTTTGTCTACACCCACGATGTGGAGAGGTTGTGGCGCAAGAACCGTCGCCCCAATGGCTACAGGAACGATACTGGGGACTGCTATGGCATCGACATGAACCGCAACTTCGATTACCACTGGGGTGGAGCCGGCTGGAACATCGACGAGCCCTGCGACCACTGGTTTGGAGGCGAACAGCCCAACACCGAGGTGGAGATCGTCTCGCTGCAGAACTTTGTGAGCTCCTTCGAGGACGGCTACATCCGATCGTACATGGCCTACCACGCCTACGGACAGTACGTCCTGCTGCCCTACGGACACTCCAACACCGAGTTCCCCCCGAACTACGAGCAGATGAAGCGCATTGCTGCCGCCTTCTCAGATGCTGCCGCTGATGTCTACGGCTCGGCTTTCACCTACGGAGCCAGTGGCCTGCTGAACTGTGAGTTTTGGGCATAAGCACTTTTAATTCAGTACTAATAATATGATCTACCCAAAATAGATGTCGTCTCTGGAGCCGCCAAGGATTGGGCCTACGGCGTGAAGAACATCCCCTTCACCTGCACCGTGGAACTGCGTGACAAGGGCACCTTCGGGTTCTTCCTGCCCTCCAACCAAATCACCGAGGTGGGCCTCGAGGTCACCGCCGGTCTGATCGCCCTGGTCAACAAGGCCGCCGAGGAGGGAATTTTCGATTAAATGCTTACTCTGTATTCGTTTGTGAGCAGGTGCTGTGAAAAATAAATATATAGATTTATATTTATTCATTTGAACATTCAAAAGTGGCTTGGAATTGATAAATGTTGTAGAATAACAGTCAGGAAACTTATTTTCTTACTGCTAGTGGGTTTTAAAATAAAACGAATTTAAATATTTAAAGAAATCAGTTTATGATTTTGTTTACCTATCAAATATTCTTTCTTACTATGAAATATTTATTTTTTTGGGGTATTATTAAAAGTACATTTAATTGATGGCCCTTCGGCTTTTTTAATTTAATTCAAATACCACTTTCTTTTATTGGGGATGCAATAAAAAGTTAAAGTTAAATTAAGTTTGTGGAATATTTATGCCGAAAATTGGATTGCATTTTCGTTTAGAGCATGAACAAGCTCGAAGGAAGATATAATTCAATTGATTTCCCTTTCCAAAGTCTTAGATTGTTTTGGCAACGCACAGGCACTTATTCAATAAGCTCCCAACTCCCTTCCCCTAAGCAAAATAGCTTGGATGGCTTACCAAAATTACTGCATCTGGTTATAGGCAAATTATGCCACGTGGCTGCAGTATCAATAAATATTTATTTTCCCGCCTCCGGCGGCTGTTGCTTTTACTGGAGTCCTGCAATTTGCACTGCGGATAGTTGGTCATGGGATTCCGGATAGCAGATACCAGATACCGGAGGATGGGTAAACTTTGCGGCACGCAGCAAAACTTTGGCCAAATGCAGCGGAATCTCTTCGTAGCCAAAGCCATCAACACCAACCGGGCCAACATAAAACTCCTACTACAAAGTGGTTATTTTGTTTGAAGTAATCCGCAAGAAGTCGTTAAAACTGTCGTTGCCAGTGCTCCTAGATTGATGATGGTTTCACGTGTCCGCCGCAGAGAGCTCCGACCTGCCCGGCTGCCTCATCCTCTCTGCTCCTTCGCCATCATCCTTGCACATCCCGAACCCCTGCCACTCGAAGATGCATTTAAGGGGAAACTGATGCAATGTCTGCAGCCGACGAAACGGTTCTCAATGGCTTTTCCAGCAATGCTTTGACATGGAAATGCTAAAAAGTTCCCCGGCAAGAGGCGATGGGGATGGTGATGGCTTCCTGAAAAGCCTTTGA